CTCAGAAATCGGACCCCAAACCCTCACCGAACGGAACGACGGGACTATTTTTTTGGAGAATGATCGCTAGAAAATTTTCAGGTGATTGTTTGAAAGCGCTAATCTTCTAGTTTCTAATTAGCCTTAGACATTTGCAAAAAGTTAATTATGAAGAAAGTTATGAATGTTTGAATGTCGACTCGCGTGTGCACAAAAAACGGAACGACGGGACTATTTTTTTGGAGAATGATCGCTAGAAAATTTTCAGGTGCTTGTTTGAAAGCGCTAATCTTCTAGTTTCTAATTAGCCTTAGACATTTGCAAAAAGTTAATTATGAAGAAAGTTATGAATGTTTGAATGTCGAAAACTCGCGTGTGCACAGAAAACGGAACGACGGTACGATTTTTTAAATATTGAACATCCGCAACATTTCAAATGTTTTTTTGAAAGAAAACTATTTGCATTTTTAAAATTTTGGTGTCCGGTTCCATGAAAACGCCTGTGGACGAAGATATAAGCTTTCAAAGAAGGCGCCCGTAACTATTGGAGATTAAGATTTTCCAGCTTCTACAAGAAACACGGTTGGACGTTGACGGAAATCTTGGCACATACCTGAAATTAGAGACCACTAGGAACATAACGGTACCTAGGTTTACAAAAAATCCTCTCAATTCCTCTAATAAAACTTTTCATATTTCATTTTGCCTCAAATCCGCGTCCCAAGCGAGTGGAAAACGCGCTCCACCCCACCTCGCGTCGCGGTATGGGCGCGAATTCTTACATTCAAACTTTACTAATCGTTTTCCTGCCTTACTTATTACTTATTTAATTACTATTATTACTTATTACTTATTATTTTGTTATTTATTACTTATTACTTATTTAATTTTTTTTCGCAGCTTTTTTGCATGCGTGAATTTGTAAGCTTCTGATACCTTACGTGCCCGCGCTCACATCCATTGTATTGATAAATGTCCAAAATGGAGTGGGGGGGGTCGCACTGACACCCCTTGAAATGGAGGGGGTCGCAAAAAATTTGGAATTTGCGCAACGCAGGGTTGACCCTGGTTAGGGCACCTCACTCCTCAATACCGGAACAGTGGCAGGCAGGACGGATTAAGCGCTTAATTCACGCACTTTTGCTTTTTGGACTGCCGACAACAAGAGCGTTTTAGAGTCGGTTCTGACTCGCAACACCTTCGGTCCAAAGCCCCGACTTCTGCTTGATCGGTTGTCGGTTGCCACGTGGCGCTGCTTGAAAAGCGCGGGCGCATTGAGGCAGCGGTCCATTGCGGTTCAATGTCATTGGCACTGGAGCAACTGGAGCTAGGTTCGTGAAACTCGTCCAACACGCCTCTTCTCTATCCCAAGGTGGAATGCGGCTGAAATAGAGGGGTCCTTATTCGGGCGTAATCGGGGGTTTCTCTTGCTTTCTTTCTTTTCCAGACCACTTCCCACCTCTTGCTATACATATTAGTGAACGCTCTTCCACACTTATTTTTCCCGAGGCCTACCTTTAAAGAAAGTCGCGAAAATATCTCGGAAAATTGAAAGGCTTATGAACCTCTTTCTGCTGTCTTTAAAATCTCTTTAAGAGAATTGTTAGTTTCAAATCTTATTAGTCTTTGTATCATACGAAATGACGTAATTTAGCTGGCGATTTCTTTGTGGACGAGTATAAAATGCCTCCTAATGGCAGTGTCGACTTCGAATCCATGCGCCATGTTTCAGCCCCATACCGTCTATCGCGTCCGGTACTGTTTTGTTTGTTATCTTAATATAGTATTAGTTTGGAGAAGAATACAGCTTACAGTTCTGACAACGGTTGCAAGGGCACATATCCCCTTCTATGAAAACCAATTGCCGAAGGAAAAGTTCTAGTGTTCAATATTGAATGCTGTATCTCACATCATCTTCTTGGACATTACTAAGGAATTTTCTACTAAAATTTGCAATACTAACAGCCCTTCGTTAACATAGAGCCATATCCGAAAGCCGATTTACATCCAACTACTTTAGCACTTCCATCATCTACCATTATTACATGTTCAACACACGTGGCGGGAGTGGTGTAGTGGCAAGTGGCGCTGTTAAGCACCCGCGTGGTGCGGGGATCAAATCCTAGGTCGTGCGTCGTCCGGGCCAACCAATCCATCCGTTCAGTGTCGGTTACTTGGCATAACATTTGCCTTTAGGGGGGGAGGGGAAGGTGGATGATTATACATATGTAGTGACTGTACATCGGCTGGCGCACAAGTAGTTCCATAGGCCAGATCGCATTCAAAATTCCATCACCGTCCTCAATGGGAGTAGGGTGCGTGACGCAGCCAAAACAGAAGTGAGCAACGCCGGATGCTTGATCCTTTATTCCCTTAGCACATGTGAATTGAAACAATTAGCTAATGGAGAAAAGACCAAACTTTATACACACAACGCATGCAGAAAAGGGAAGAAACCCATATCGAAGTGTGACACGTACTTAATTCACTCTATGTGGGTAATAAAACGACCTTCTAGCAACTAGCTAAATTGCCCGGCATTTATAAAAACCTTCTCATCCACTCCGCACCAGCACGGTATGTGAAGAATGATACGACTGGCTGCTGTGCGAGGTTCGCAAAAAGAGAGTTTAGGATTACCGCTCCTGGTACTGGAGGCTACTAGCTGGTAAAATATACGTAACTGTTCGTATGATAGCTTGAGTTTTTGAAAACTATTAGAATGTCATTTTTCCCTGAACCTCAAATGTAGTGGGTCTTAATTAAGCATGTTGCTTCTAAATAATTCATGAGAGATACTTCTATGGGTAAATCTAAGTTTCCTTGTGAATAGCTTTCTCAAAAATTATTCTGTATCTTTTCCAAATTAATTAAAATGTTTTGTTCTGGAGAAAGCGTATGAATGCGCCATATCAACGGACAGAGCGGACCTAAATTTTGTAGGCCCGCGCTAGTAAAGCAGGATCATTAGCATTGAGCGATTTGAATATTAACAAAACTGTTCTGCTTTAGCCAAAATGCTTTTCGGATGCTACTCAAATAGTAGTTTTGAGTCAATAAAGGAATTTAAATCCTTGACCATATCGGCCGTATTAAAGATAATGGCGATATTGGATGTCAGGATTACTTTCGCTGAGATGCAGCCCTTTGGTTTTGTGGACAAAACGTTTTGAAAGCTATCTTCTTTCTTGGCATCGTCGAACAGTTGTATGACCTCTTTTCAAGCCCCTATCATCAAACTATCTCTTTTGCCTCATTTTCTTCACTCTCTAATTCGAGTTACAAAATCTATGAAAGCTCAGACTTATTCGGGTGTGGCCACACCCACCTATCGCTTCACCTATATATCAAATAAACACAAAAATACGTATATGTCAACAGTCTGCCAAGCCTACTCACAAATAACTGATGTACACTTCCGCCTTGTTTGAAAATGGAAGCACAGCTGATGTCGGTAGATGAGATGACAGCTTAAGTTTAGTGAAGAATTGGATGTCTCTCA